TGCAAGGGATGCTGAGAAATGCAGTCCCAGGATGGAAGGGTGTGGTGACCAACCTCCAGGGTGGCCCCCAGTGATTCCCATCTCCTGTATTCTCTCACCCCCTGGCGTAGCCCCTGCCCCACACTGAATCGTGGCTAGCCTGTGTGACCACCAGGATACTGTGGTGGTAACAGTATGTAAACTGAATAAAGATCGTGTGGTATATGTATATAATAGAACATTGCTAAGCCATAAAAAGAATGAAATAATGCCACTTGCAGCAACATAGATGGACCTAGAGATGATCATACTAAGTGAAGCAAGTTGACAGAGAAAGACAAATAGCATATGATATCACTTACGTGTGGAATCTAAAAAAATTACACAAGTGAACTTATTTACAAAACAGACACAGCCTCACAGACATAGAAAACAAACTTATGGTTACCAGGAGGGGAAGACGGGAGGGGAGGGATAGGTTAGGAGCTTGGGATTGGCAGATGCAAACTACTACATACAGAACCGATAAGTAACAAGGCCCTATTGTAGAGCACAGGGAACTATATTCAATAGCTTGTCTATAATGAATCTATGCCAAAAAAGAATATGAAGAAGAATATATATGTATATGTATAACTGAATCACTACGCTGTATACCAAAAACTAACACAACATTGTAAATCAACTATACTTCAATTGAAAAAAAAATTGTTTTAAGTAAAGCAAAGCAAGGAAAAGGGCTGGGAGATGAGGGTGGGGGTTGTGGTCTTAAATTGAGGTATCAGAAGGGGACAGTGAGTACAGAGGCAATGAGGGAACCACGGGAACATCTGGGGGAAGGGCATTCCAGGAAGAACAGCCAGTGCAAAGGCCCTGAGGCCTGATTAGTTGGAGGGACAGAAAGGAGGCCAGTGTACCCACACTGGAAGAGTAAGGGGGACAGAGCAGGAGGTGCATCACAGGGCAGGAGGGGGCATTTATTAGACTGTGTAGAGCATTGGGGACTATCCTTAGGACTTGGAGTTGAACCACTGGGCTGTGTTCTGGGTAAACTTGGAAGACGGAGCCAACTGGATTAGTCAACAGGGTTTGGGAGAGAAATCAAGGATGACTCCGGGGTTTTTTTAGTGTGAGTGGGAGGATGATGGAGCAATGCCCAGGGGTGGGGAGGGAATAAGATCAGTAATCCATCCCAAACAGGTTCATTTTCAGGTTCGCCTAAGAGCAGATGCAGGGAGGGACGTCTGAAAGAGGCATCTGGGCAGGAGAGAGAAGGGCAGGTGGCGACACACAGGTATTTAGAGGCAGAAGATTAGATAAGATTATCCAGGGGTTGGAGATAAAGAAGTTCAAGGAAAAATCTCATAGGATTGGTAAGATTAAAAATAAAAACAATCACCACAAGAAGACACCCATCAACAAAGGACTGATTAAGTAAATTACAGTCTCCTATGTAACAGAATGCTATGCAACAGCCCCCCCAAAATGGAGGGGGGTGGCAGCCTACTTTCAAGATGGACTGGCATCCATCCTTGCCTGTTCCTCCTCCCGACCTCCATCCAGCTTCTTGGAAAAGGAATGTCCCAGCTGAAGCACCATTTTGGATTCTGATTCTGACAAGAAGGGCCCCACCCCAGGGATGGCTGAGCTGTGAGCTGGAAGGAGGTGTCTGGGAACTTCCTGGGACAGAGTACCCCACTTCCCACCCTGTGTGCCAACCTCCAGACTGTTTGGGAGACTTACTGAATACCGTGCTGAAAGTGAAAAACGGCATGGTTGTCTAGGTACAGAATGGTTGTAAGTGGATGGTATTTTGGCCCCTCGATCATGCGACTGACCGGGAGCTGTGGCTCCCAGCATCGGGATACTATCACAGCACACATCTCTAGCCCAGGAAAAGATCCAAATTCGAAACGTGAAGTACCGTGTCTACTGACTGCGTATCTCAGATCTCTGTCAAGTCGAAAAATTGTAAGTTGAAGCATCGTAAGTTGGAGACCGTCCGTATTCAGTAAGTGGCATGAGCTACTCAACACAATCATGAAAGAGGCTTTGTGTTCAATGATTTTGCCCAACTGCAGGCTAATAATGTGTTTTGAGCACATGTAAGGTCAGCAGGGCTAAGCTATGATGTTTAGAAGGTTAGGTGTATTAAATACATTTTCAACTTAACAATATTTTCAACTTACCAACGGGTTTATTGGAAATAACCCCATCGTAAATCAAAGATGATCTGTTTTGCCATACACAGCCCTGTGGCTAAATCTCACTGCTCACCTTTGATCATTTCCTAAAAATGGGTAACACGAAATGGATTATGAGATTTTGAAATTGAGTGCCAGCTGGGTTTCCAGAGAAGCTTCCACAGTGTGGGAGTCGATGACAGTTCCATGTACCCACAGCCTCTTCAGCCCTCAGGGTTTGTTTCTTTAATTTTCATTTTCTGTCCATTCAATAGGCCTGTTTTGCATTCACCCCAGAAGAGGTAACAGCGATCTCTGACCACGGAGTGATAATCTAAAACCAGCAGGATAGGTTGATGGGCCGATTTGCAGCCAAGAGTCAAAATCAATCCATCCATCCTTCCTTCCCTCCCTCTTGAATTCATTCATTGAGAACATACCAAGCAGGCAAAGTTTGGAGGACAGTAAGTATTTGGGTGCCTATAATGTGCCAGGTATTGTTCAGAAGTTGCTTTTTTTTCCCCATTTGGAGTCACTAACTCACTTGAAATTAAATCAGACATTTTCAACCGGAAGCAACTCCGCCCTCTAACGGGGGCGCTTGGCAGTGTCGGAGAGTTTGGGTGGCTGCGATGCGGAGACGTCACTGACATCTAGTGTGTGGCGACCAGGGAGGCTGCTCAAAACCCCGCAATACACAGGACGGCCTCCCACCAGCACAGAATCATTCCACCCAGAATGTCAACATTCCTCAGGTTGAGACACTCCAATTTAAATGAAATGGAATAGTACTGGATAAAAGAGAACAGAAAATACCAGACGGCGTTGTTCAAAGTAAGGAGAAGTATCATTTAATAAGACCTCTTTAAGGAGGCGGCGTTTAAGCAGAGAATTTCGTGTTGAAAGGGAGCGAGATTCCAGCGGAGGGCACAAGCCGAGGCTGGGTGGCTGGATCGAGGTGGGCGTGTCTGAGGAGCAGAAAGCCGGCCAGCGTGCCCCCCCCCCAGCCAAGCGGAGGGAGGGCGAAAGGAGAGGTTAGAGGTCAGCAGGGGTGACTGGGAACCGAGGAGAGGATTTCAGGTAAGGCAGCAACGTTGTTCATTTTGCTTTGACAAGGATCATGTGGGCTGCTGAATGAAGTTACAGCAGGGCTGGAGCAGGTGTGAAGTTGCAACACTTAGGAGGTCGTTACTGAGGGTGTTTATGAGGTCGGAGGAGGTGAAAAGTAGCTGAACTGTGGATGGGTAAAGCAGGTGAAGCAAAGGCAGTGAGGGCAGGGGGTGTGGGGCAGTGTCAGGGCGGGGGAACTGTGGAGGCTGTAGCAATGGATGGCTTGGCCCTTCTCCCAGGGGCAGCGTGGAGGCTCAAGCCTCAGGGAAACCAGCTGGGCAGGGCCACCATCCTGACTCACAGCAGAAACTAGGATGGCCCCTGCCACCCACTTACTTCCTCAGCCACGACTGGGTAAACACCTCTTTCGGTGCCACAGGTGCCTCCAAGGCCTCCTCCAACCTCTTCCACTTCAATATCCTTCCCTCTGTCCTGCTCCTGATCCCACAAGGAGGGCAGTGTCCACGTCCTGCTCTATCTCCCTATCAGCATGGGATCCCCGGAGGCATGGAGGGCACAAAACTACTCTTATCTGGGGCACCCAACATCAAGTTTAGAGTGCAGCAATGAGGCGGCGTCTGCCTATTAACTCCTACTTGTGCGTCAAAACCCACTTCAAATGGACCTTTATTTGGGAGGACTTCTTGGATGCTCATGGTTACTGATCTAACACAATTAACTAATGCACATCAATAGCTAATACAAATTGAGCACCTATTACATTCCAGGTCCCATTCTGAGGACCTTACACACAACAACCCTATGATACAGTTTATTATCATTATCTCCACTTGACGAATGAGAAGCTAAGGCTCAGGGACACAACTAGTAAGTAGTGGTGCCAAGATCGGAATGTAGGGGATATCAACATGCTGCCTCAGCGGGTATCCTTCCCTGTGAGATTGGTTTGATCATCACTATCTTCCAGACACTTCGGGCTCAGAAGGGTTAAGCAATGCACCTAAAATCACACAGCAAGTCAGTAATTGAGCCAGCCTTGCTTGGCACATGGGGCAGCTGCCTCCAAAGCCCTCAGCTTTTAACCTTCCTCCCTTACCACTTCATCTTTTGGTTCAAAGTGTAGTTGATGAGCACCTACTGTGTGCCAGGCACTGTTCTAGGCTCTGGGGACAAAATAGGGGGCAACTCTGAGAAGGCGATTTTAGAACTGAAAGATGAAAAAGAATCCACCTTGAGAAGATCTGGGAAAAAAGAGAAGTCCCAAACGTTACCAGGAGCCTCCCTTCTCCTCCCTCCTGCCCCACCTGCCTTTGCCCATTCTCTTCTCTTTGCCAGGAGTGCCTTTCCCTACCTAACAAACTCCTATACATCCCTCAAAGCCCAGCTCCAATACCTGCCCCTCCTAGAGAACCTTTGCTGACCAACTTTCCAGGCTAAGGACGCAACCCCACCCTTGGGCTTCCACAGCAGGGAAGAGGGAGGGGTGTCCCTCCCTCTCTCCACCAGTAACCATAGGATGGGAAGGTCTCAATAGGAGCCAGCCTCACCACGCTGGAAGATCCTTGAGGCCAAGGCCCAGCGGACAAACGGAACTGATTTCTAAAATAGGCAATGAGTAGCAGAAAATTTTGACGATTCCTCTGGAAAGAGACTCAAACAAGAGACTTTAAAGTTCTCGGGCTTCGGTCAGGCGCCACTCCTTGACCACGCCCTCCAGGCTCCGCCCCGCCCCGCCCCGCCCGAAACTAGCCTCACGCTTCCCGGAAGCTGAGCGTCACGTGAGCGAGCGCCGCGGGCGCAAAGCACGCCGAGAGTTGTAGTCCCGCCACCGTACGGAAGCCGGGACGGACGTGGGGGGCGATGTGGCCCGAAATACTGGTGGGGGGGGCCCGGGTGGCGGCTGGCTGGTGTCCCGCGCTGCGGCCTCGCCTCGCCGCCTGCTTTATCCCGCAGTGGACGCCCGACAACCGCCTGGCTCTCCAGCGGAGCCTGCACGCGACGGCGGCCCGGGCTCTCCCGCTCATTCCCATCGTGGTGGAGCAGACGGTACAGTGGCCGGGCGGAGACACGGCCCGGGGGTGGTGGGGCTAGGGGTTAGGGGCACGGCCGGTCCCTGAACTTCACCCCGTCTTTACCCCTCTAGGGTCGCGGCGAGCGCGCCTATGACATCTACTCGCGGCTGCTGCGGGAACGCATCGTGTGCGTCATGGGCCCGGTGAGTGCCCCTCGCCCCGATCGTCCCTTGCGCCTGCCCAGAGCCCCATGCGCCCCTCCTCCTCGAACTTCCTTGGTTCCCTGATCTTGCCTACTGACTTTCCTCCCTAGGTTTCGCTCTTGTCCCAACCCCCGTTCCTGGGTACATAAGGCCTCTGATACTCCCTCCTGGCCCCTAGTACTCCCTTTACCCCTTCCTCAAACCCTTCCTTCCTAATCTCTGACTCTCTTCCTCACCAATGATCTCCCTCCCCACTCCTGGGCTCCAGTCCCTTTCCCCAACCCTCCTGACCCCTGAATCCACTGACTCCCTGTTTCCAGTGTCACAATCCCCTTGGGTCTGGACCAACCCCACCACATCCCTTCCTGGGCCCTGAACGGCTTACTTGGGCTCTGACCCCCATTCTGATACCCTGACTCATCCCCAGCCACCCCATAACTCCCTCCCTTAGCCCTCACCCCGATCTGTGGACACCCCTGTCCTCCCCAATTGCAGATCGATGACAGTGTCGCCAGCCTGGTCATTGCGCAGCTGCTGTTCCTGCAGTCCGAGAGCAACAAAAAGCCCATCCACATGTACATCAACAGCCCTGGTGAGCAGGGCCTTCTCCAGGTGCCAGGGGGCGCTCCTGGGGACACCCTGGATGACTCAGGGGACTGATACCCCCAATCAGGAATGTTCTCTCTCTGGAGAAAGACAGGGTGCAGAGCTTCCTTCAGAATCCCAAAAGTGTCTTGAAACCTCCAAAAGCTGCCTGTTCCTTGCTTTTAAAGCTGCCACTGAACTTGCCTCTTTAATCCCACCTGTAATGTTTACCGACCTGACCTGGTTGTCAAGATTTTAAAATTGGTAGACTCCACCCCACCAAAAAAAAAGAGAGAATTGCCAATCTTGATTGAGTGTTTACTGTGCCAGGCACTTTCCTAAGCACTTAACTTATTTTACTTTGGTGGCAACCTCATGTGATTGGTACTGTTTAATTATCTCCAATCTGTAAGGAGACATTGTGGCTTTGAGAGGCTGCATAACTTGCCCAAGGTCACACATGATAAACTGCCCAGCCAGGGATCATACCCAGGCAGGCTGGCTCCAGGATCTTCGTTCTTAGCCACCACACTCTCCCCGTTTCTAGTTTTTCTTGAAAATTTGACAGATGTAGCCCCCCTGGACCCTCATGCACCTGTGGCACCTATCAGCTCACTCTGGAGCGAACCCTCTTTTTTGCACCCAGCTGGCCTGTGTCACCTATTTCTGGCATCTCCCTACCCCCAGAAGTATGTGTATTTGGGACCCTGGCTTTAATGGGCATCTCCACCAGCCCTCCCTGGGGAAAAGATGGCGGGAGGAGGCGGCACAGCCCCTCACTCACACCTGCATCCGCAGGTGGCGTGGTGACCTCGGGCCTGGCCATCTACGACACGATGCAGTACATCCTGAACCCCATCTGCACGTGGTGTGTGGGCCAGGCCGCCAGCATGGGCTCCCTGCTTCTGGCTGCTGGCACGCCGGGCATGCGCCACTCCCTCCCCAACTCCCGCATTATGATCCACCAGCCCTCCGGGGGTGCCCGGGTGAGTGCCAGGCCCTGATGGGATGCAAGACGGGTCTAGATGGAAGGACCAGCTGAGCGGAAGTTGTGTAGCAGTGGGAGTGTTTTAAAATGTAGATCTTATTGTTAAATAGAAGAAATGGTGAGGCCAGCCAATCAGGAGAGAACTGCCATTGAAAAGACAGTGTGTTACTTACAGATCCCAAGAGGAGGGGGCCATGGGGGCCCACACAAGGAGTCACCAGGGTGGGTCAGGAGGAGAGGGAGTGGGCCAAGAATGCGGGCAAGAGCCTTTATTATGGTTTCTGTGAGAGAATGAGCACGGCCAGCTAAACAGGCTTAGCATTGGCCAAGTGAACATTTTCAGTGGGCTCTGGCGCCTAGGAGCCAG